CTTGGTCGAGTATGGTTCAGACTAAGTCGAGCATGGTTCAGACTATGTTGAGTATGATTCAGACACGTATACAAGTGTTAAGTACTGGTCGAGTAGAAGTCGAGTACAGGTTAAGACTGTTATGTATGGTTCAGACTACAGTCGAGTAATATCAAGTTAATTTCAGACCAATTCAGACTGGTCGAGTAAAAATCAGTACAGTCGAGTACAGATATAGGCCATTGCAGACTTTTACTGGTTTGTAGTGTATATATGAAGTTATTTTCTGAATACATGTATTTATGTTGACTGTTAACTCTACTCAATCATTGAAATGAATTGAAATATTGTATGATTTTTCTTAGAGATAATTAAATTGTAATTTTTATGTTCTCATCAGCGCACTTCATTGGTTAATAAATTGATTAATTGTTTAATGGAGAAAAAATTATGACGGTATAGATATAAATATGTATGCTGTTCTGCACACAGACTTCAAATTGAAAAGTTATACAATACTACTGTTGAAATAAAAACAACATGATTTATTAAAGTGGCTTTCCTCCTTTGTGATATTTCATTTAACTTTTATTTATAAATATTGAAATCCATTATTTTTTTAATGTGCAACACATGTGCAAAACATAAACTATCACTATACCAGCTTGTCTACCATTGATTTCCAGAATTTTTAAAAAATAACATAAGATGTTATTCTTATTCGGATATATGAATATAATCATCTAGACACTGATACAATATTCAAAAGTAAAATATAAGAAATATCTACTAAACAAAAATGTTCAGCCATACAGAGAAAGAAGTCTTTGTCCATCCCCACCCAAACTGTCCCATCGTACGAGGCAGCCCTGGTACGCATTTCAATGAAAATATCAAACAGCCATGTCTGACTGAATTGTCTAACTGGCTCTTGTACTGTTCGTCTTATATTGTGGTTAGTTTTACTAAAATTATTCATTTTATACGTTCATCTACGTTTTGTAAACAGAATTTTTGAAAAAGTCGCAGTGTTTTCCCAAAGTACGTAACCATTGTACACGCTAAGTTACTTTAAATGTATTTTATCTTGTAAATGTTCTAGTTTTTATATTCTATCAAATATAAAATACAATACATGATCAATCAAGTGATAAAATCAATACAAACATTTGCAGTTATGTCAGTTTTTAAATAAAATGTATGTATATAAAATAATGTATGTGTACTTGCCCTTGATGTAAAATGATGATTCATTAAACCACTGTTTTCCATTGACCTAGATACATGTATCTTTTGCATGTTGCAGAATTTCCAGAAATATATATAACCACTGTTCATAATAGCAACGACATAAAAAAAGATTATTTTATTTTGTGTTGAGACAAATCTCTATATAAGATATATAGTATTACCAATTAACAATTGACAATATTGAAAGTAAATAGTAAACAAGTAATAGCTTTTCTAAAAAGCTAGCCGTATCATGGCTGATGAAATTTTAAATTGAAAACTAAAAGGCAAATACATTTTTTGAGAGCGTGTACATTTCTTTAGGGGGAAGGAATGTATATAAACACTGGAATTTCAGGTACGGAAAAAACAGAGTATGCGTCGACAAATAGATCTTACTAAACAAATCCTGACAAAATCTTGCATGCTTTAACTTTCATCATTATACAAACATAAGGATATTGATAGAGATCAATCGAACTATCAGAATTAATTAACTACAGAGAAAACAAAAGGGTCTGTGTTGTTTCATGTCAGACGTGTTCCTCAGTAATAGCTAGATGTGGCTGCATTCATGTTACAGAGAATGTATTTACTAGTAATCAGGGATCATACAGAATATCTTATTTTTCAGATATTATGCATAATCACTAAAATCTTTAGTACTTCATTTTTGTATTCTTGTCTTTTGTTCTTACTAATGTGCTTTGTCTGTATGCCTTTTGTGCTTCTTTGTTACATATGTGTTTGTTTTTATAGTGATTAAGTTTATTATGTTCACACATCGTTGTCAATAACCCTTTGTTTTGACAATTTTACCTATTATGTCTGTTTTGTTCACGCATCGTTGTCAATATAATGGAATTTGATGCGACTGTCATACAAGTGAGAGGTTTAGCTATCTATAAAACCAGGTTTAATCCACCATTTTCTACATAAGAAAATACCTGTACCAAGTCAGGAATATGACAGTTGTTATCGATTCGTTTGAGCTTTTTATATTGCCATGATTAGGGATATTCCTTTTTGAATTTCCCTCGGAGTTCAGTATTTTTGTGATTTTACTTTTCACTGAATATATGTACTAGTATATAAAATCGCATGGCTTTTGACCTCTTGGGATGTCGTAAGGCTGTTCGCTATTCTAATTCAAAGTAACAAGCTTTTTAAAAGACTGTTATAAATTGAAAGTATATGAATAATAAAAGGAACTAAAAATAGCAAAAAATAATTGAGGGGTCCGTGTGATTGTTTTTAAAACGAAAGAACAGCAAGAAAGTGACAATCTTGTAAGTCTAACACACCCGCCACGTGGCGGTATAAGTTCACAAACCCGGTATTGACAGCCTAGTAGATTTTTTATTATTTCTAACTTAATATTAGTTTTCAAATAAAAATCAAAAACGCCTACAAAGGAAATGGTAAAAATTGTAATTTAAGGTCAATAACTCCTATAAAGAATTTACCAACTATTTCAGTAATTTGACTTATGTGTAGATCTTCAAGCTTGTTGATAAGATTTTCTATTTAAAGTTATTTCTACTTATCTTATACTTTCAATATAATAGGCAAAAAAAAAACACATTAACATGGTAAAAATCATCTTTTAAGAGCAATAAGGATGAATACTGACAATTTCAGCATAACAAGATTTATGTGTAGATTGCCATTTAAAGTTTTGTCTATATTTTATAGTTTTCAGATATTAGTTTGCTAAGTCTTTATCTTTTTAAGCCACAGAGTTGTCTGTTTATTGTCTACTTGTAAGTTGGATTGAACTCTGGTATCTTTATCCTCTCTTAGATAATAGACTTTATCTTGATAACATTATTACTCAACTGGACCCGAGATAGTTGAAAACGAGAGTGCACACGCTGAAATGTCTCGCCTTCTTTACTAATCATTGATATCATGTTGATAGCCCTAAATATAAAGCTTTATTACAACTGTCACATAAACTTAACATTTACCAAGTAAACTAAACATTGACCAATGAACAATGAAAATGAGGTCAACGTCAGATGACACCTGCCAGTTGGACATGTACACCTTACAGTCCTTCCATACACCGAATATACTAGAACTATTGCTTATAGTATCTGAGATATGGACTTGACCACCAAAACTTAACTTTGTTCACTGATCCATGAAATGAGGTCGAGGTCAAGTGAAAATTGTCTGACGGGTATGAGGACCTTGCAAGGTACGCACATACCAAATATAGTTATCCTATTACTTATAATAAGAGAGAATTTAACATTACAAAAAATCTTAGCTTTTTTTCAAGTAGTCACTGAACCATGAAAATGAGGTCAAGGACATTGGACATGTGACTGACGGAAACTTAGTAACATGAGGCATCCATATACAAAATATGAAGCATCCAGATCTTCCACCTTCTAAAATATAAAGCTTTTAAGAAGTAAGCTAACGCTGCCGCCGGATCACTATCCCTATGTCGAGCTTTCTGCAACAAAAGTCGCAGGCTCGACAATAAAACTACAATCTCTAAATATCCTGAAAACTGGTGTCAAAGACATAAGATAAAAAGATCAAATATATACCCCCATCCAAATAAAATAAACTGTTGACACAGTCACATGTCTTGCCTGTATGTAATAATGATAGTAATATGCAAATGTTGAAGTAAAAATATCAATACTTTAACATGTAATTATGAAAATATTTAAAGTCAATGAACTATGACCTAAAGCTACACAGAAACAATAAACAGCTGCGCCATGAGCGCCTGATTGGCCCGTCGCTTTTTGAAGGAATAAAGTTCAATAACCTCTCAATGTCATATCAGAAATTTATAGAAAATCTATAGGGAGCTTAAATCAATAGATATAAACAATTCATCAATGTTTCATAAGAACTGCTGAAAGCATTTTTGAGTTTTTGTACGAAAACTGAAAAATGCCCCCTTTTTAAATGAATAAAACCCCACAACTGGAAAATGTGAAATTTAAAATTTATAAAAATGGAAAGGGAGCAACCACGTCAATAGATATAAACAATTCAGCAAAGTTTCATGAGAACCTCAGAAAGCATTTATGAATTCTTGTCCAAAAACTGGAAAATCCCCCCTTTTTTAATGAATAAAACCCCATTCCTTGGAAACGTAAAATCTAAAATTTATAAAAAATTGATTGGGAGCTCACGTCAATAAATATAAACAATTCACTTAAGTTTTATGCAAATTGGTTAAAGAGTGTTTTAGTTAATGTCCCACATGTTGACGACGGACGGACGGACAGAGGTATACCATAATATGTCCCGTAAACGGGCGTATAAAAATTTAAGAGATAAGATATGCCAATGCTAGAAAAACTGCATACCAAATATCATTGACTTACCATTAGCGGCTTCCAATTAACTGACTTAATCATAAAAATCAACATTTCAACAATGAATTTTTGATAAGACAATAGACCATGATTAGGGGGCAGGGCCTAATAAGCTCCATAGAAATTTCATTGGTGGAGGAAGCGAGAGTGGACTAAGGGAATCATTGACCATCGGTGGGAAAACTAAAAATCCTAGCAATATAGTCAAATAAGATTGGAGTCGAACACCAGCCATCTGCGAGACTTGAAAGCACAACCTAAGTGTTGACAGGCTAGTGACACATAGTTGAACTACTTAAACAGCTTGGCTACCGAGGCCCCTTGTGGTGAAAAAGAAAAACACCATTTATGCAACAACAAACCTATTTATTATCTTCTTCAAGTTATAGATTTCTAAAAAAGTTTTTAAGTGCATAACAGATAAAATACATCAACAATAAGTATATTAATGTAATTTTATTACAGATAAAAAACAACAAATCAATAAAGATATTTTGTCTGTACTTTAATAGGAAGAAAACATTCATTATAAATCAGAAAATGTTATTCAATGGTGATATCTGTTATTTCTGTGTAGCATCACTTCATAATAAATTAGCAAAATTCGGTTAATTATATTATGTTACTATTCTTGAAAATGTACCTGTTTCATAAATATAATTTCCCTACAGATACCTTTGCAACCATTTATGGGAAGTCAATATATGTACAGGGGAGAAAATTATTAACAAGATAATGCATGTTCAAAGACCAATTTTTACAGATTTCTGTTATAATGACCTCATAATAATGGAATCAGATCACAGAACTACAAATCTAAAATAATTGTACAGAATTATATATATATATAATTACCCATCAAATCAGATACCAAAAGAAATCTTATGACAATTCTATAATGGAACATTTAGAATTTATTGGAAGATGTCCTAATACTCTCTTTGATCGTATTTCAATCAAAAAAAAAAAGGGTTAGAAACACTTTTAAATGTACTTGCTTCAAAAAAAACCAGACTCATATAGAAATATTAGAAAAATGAAAATTTAACAAAGGTCAGTAAATCTAAACTTACTTTCACATGATATACCAAAGTTCTGTAAAGCTTTGAAATGAAACAACACTGCTAACATGTAATTAAAATTGTTAGTAATGTCCATTTATTGTTTATTGCTGACTAAACAAGTGAAACTGCGAGCTACTGCTCACTGATGATACCCCCGCCCAAATATTTCGGTAAACAGGAAGTTGTTGAGTGATGAATCTGAAAACGCATCACACGATATAGATGACTTATATAAACCATGAAACCAAATTTCAGAAATTCTTGTATTGTAGTTCCTGAGAAAAATGTGACGAAAATTTTCAACTTGGCTATCATGTGTAAAATGATACAAGTGTTCCGTAAACAGGAAGTTGTTGAGTGGTGAATCTGAAAATGCATCACTCAGTATAGCTGACTTATATAAACCCTGAAACCAAATTTCAGAAATCTTTGTAATGTAGTTCCTGAGAAAGATGCGACAAAAATATTCATGGGACGGACGGACGGACTGACGGATGGATGGATGGACTGACGGATGGACAGACAGAGGTAAAACAGTATACCCCCACTTTTTTTAAAAATCTGTACAAAATCAATCAATCGTCTATCATTTATTACTAAAACTGGCAATTGTTTTATAATCCCAGTGTTTGAACACAATAAACAACAAATGAAAAACCATGATGTGTATAATTAATCTAAATTTACCTGTTTACGAAACAACCTCAGAGGTTTAAGAAAAATTCAGCAAAATTACCAAAAAAAAACTAAATTTTATATTTTAGTCTTAGAATTTTGAAAGATTTACAATATAATTCATAATCACAAAAATGATTATACATCAATGTGAAACTCCTCTTATTGTTGACAATGACCTAGCTTCTTATAATACTGTGTTCCCAGTTGTTAGAGTACAATCTATTACATACAATTCAATCATTTGATTTATTTGCCTATATAAAGCAAACTGTTTAATTGAAAGAACAATTAAATTTCTGCATTAAAAAAAAATATACCATCAATACATTTTTGTTTTTGGAAAATGTATTTTCCTTTCCAAGGCAAAATGTGCAAAGTTCAGAAGAACATTTAAAAAAAAAAATAAATGAAATTAAAGATTTTTTTTCATACTAAAAAATCCTTAGCTTTGAACAATCAAGTCATTTCTCTCACAGACCAAGCAAGTAAGCATTGTAGTTATCTCCCTTTGCACCATTTTACAACTGTACAATTTCATTGTATAACTATAACAACAGATATCCACTTTAATTAAAATAAGAAGTCATCTTTTATATTGGAACATATAAAACTAACATACAGAAATATGACCAAAATCAAAATTATACGGTAATATGAATCTGCACTTTCACCTAACTTAACAGTTAGTGTAGCTATCAATTACTGATTAATCAAATATAAAACAGTTCATATTAAGTTAATACACGCTCTACCAACAATGCAGACTATGCCAACATCTTCCTGTAGCAACAGGATTAAGTATTTTACAAATTATTTAGATGTGAAAAACCATACAAACTGAAATTTATGTCCAATATGTTTTTTTTACATCATGACTTCAAAGAGCAGACAATGGCTACAGTAACATCACGATAATTAACAGGCAAAAATCATCCATGAATTAAATATTGGTGAAATATGAGAAAAAATATAATTTTTTTTTTTTTTTAATTAAAGCTTTAAAACAGTCATTGGCAATCTAGACTCTACTTGCAACAGTAACCATGTATTTGTGATGAATACAGTGAAATTAATTCTTATTTGATATATTTAAATACAAAGTGCACTATACAAATAAAAAATCTGTACAAAATCAATCAATTGTCTATCATTTATAACTAAAACTGGCAATTGTTTTATAATCCCAGTGTTTGAACACAATAAACAACAAATGAAAAACCATGATGTGTCACCAAGGGTCCGGAAACGGTCATATTTGCCAGACATGACCAAATCTGAAATCTATTTGTCCTATAGGACAAATTGGGATTTAGGACAAATTTTATTTTTTTACAGAAATAATTTCGGTCATTTCGTTGAGATCGGATTTCTTAATCGCCACTTTGCACTTGTTTTTGTTTTGTTATCCCCTTACTGTAATAAAACTGCCACTCTAGTATAGTATTATAATCCTGAGGGCCCTCCTAATAACTATATTAATGCCTCGGGGAAATATTGGCTAATGATCGTTAATCACTTTTTACCTGTGTTTTTAATTGAATAATTCACATCTGTCACTGATCACAAGCTCAGAACTAATAGTGTACTAAAGAAATTAAAATTCCATGACAACTGTCTTTATTATTAAATTACTTTTCAGCAAAGACAAATCTTCAATTCTGATTTAAATATTAAAACTTAATTAAATTTACGTAGAAACACAACTAATTTTTCACATGTAACACACATGTGCTTTATTTACTATGTAATATGCATGCGTGAAATTCTCTTCAGCAGATTTGAAACTTATTCGTAAATTGCAAAATGATTTCATGCTAAATAAAACAAGTGCAACTATTATCTGTAATATTCAAACACTTTTAAAGGTAAAAAAATTAAAAAGCGGCGATTTCCTGTCAATTTGATAAACAAAACAAATCCCAGAAATGAGTCAGGAATCACTCGTACTGTACAATTGTTGCACACCAACTGTGTTCATTCTTCAGATATTTCTACAAAGTTTTAATTTTCTGGCAAAACATGAAAACATATTGTTAAATTATATGTGCATGCAATAAACTGCATAAAGATGTTTTTCTCTCTGTTTCGGATTGTCATTTTTTCAGCAAATTAAAATTTATACTTTTTTCTTCAACTTAGTTCAATAAGTATGGAACATGTACATAAAGTAAATTATTTAATAAATACAGTAATGAGATCAAGAAACCAATATAACAGTATATAAAACATTAATAAACAACTGTATAAATAAATCTTAATACATTATTATTATTTACATGAAAATTTATAAAATATCTATATGTAAATGATTATAATAACAGGAATGTATGCTTCAATATCAGCATATCACATTCTACATTGTTTTATAAACTTATTGTGTTGGCAATGGGACGGATGGCTGAAAGACTTATAACATAATGTCATCAACTTCTCCACATGGACAATGATGGATTCCCTCGTCTGTCCCACTGGTTCATTTCATCAGGTGTTCCAGCTAATACATCACCTGTTTGTGCAGCCTCCATCTGATCATAAAAAACAAATAAAATATACAATATATGCAACGATTTCCTTTCATTATAGCATCAATATCATGTGGAGCCAAAAAAATGTACATCATAAAATCCTAAATGTCTAGACATGGAAAAACAAATATTAATAGATTGATATTTTATAATGACCTGTTTACATATGATGGTGATTGTGACAATTAAATCAAGTACATCTGCTCACTACTGCTCACTAGTGATACTCCTACTTAAGAAATCGGTAAACAGGGATGAATCTGAAAACCCATTACAACATAAAGCATGTTCACATGAATCAAGATAATAAATTTCAAAATGCTCTTAATTAAATGTGTAGTTCCCTAGAAAATGAGACAAAAATTTCTTACATGGCCATCAGTGTTCTCCCCAGGATTTTTGGATAGCACCAGGGTAACGCGTGTGGTCAGCTTGGTGAAATATTTCATACAATTAGTTGTGTCGCGTCGCGTGGCTTGGCTGAATTTCTAGTTACTGTAGTTTTTATGTCTCTTGTTTTGTTTTCATACTGTGGTACTGTGTTATGTAGACATTGAGTCAGAAAATTATTGGTAAAAAAGAAGTAAATCAAAAAACAGTTTGTATACTTTAATATTTTTTAAAAATCAATAAATTATGATTCATAATAAAATGTTCATCTGAATTTAAAGTAATTAAATCTTTTATAAAATCCAAAATCAATAAAAATAAAATATCATTTAAAAGAGAACAAAAATGTTCAATTTAAAAAACTTTCTAGTTTCTAGAAAGAAAGTTGTTGTATGTGAAAGGATTCCTGTCATAAGAAGATATAAAATTAACAAGAACAATTGTTTTATTATTTGAACCAGTTTCTACCTTAGATTTTAATAAAAAGAAATTTTTCATAAATTTTAGAACATTTTGCCATAGATTTCATGTAAATACTAACCTTTCTTGTCTTTTGTGATAATCAAACATAGATACAGACTTAATACTGCACTGAAATCTAAATCTTTATTTGACATGAACCATTTTATAATCAAAGCACGAAAGCGCTGTAAAGGCAGTTAATTACAGGTTGTGTGTATTTTAAGTCCAGTTATATCATTATCTTGCATAGTACAGTGTACTTATCAGAGGTGGCTTTCAGTATTTAAGATTTAGAGTTCTCTAATGATATTGAATAAGTTTTATGAATGTCATATTCTGAGCACTATATGAAGGCGATTGTTCTCACTTGTTTATGAACTAGTGCATTATGTCCAGTTTGTACCTTTTTTATCTATGTTTATAGTCAAATTAGTTATCAAAGGTACCAGGATTATAATTTAATACGCCAGACGTGTGTTTCGTCTACATAAGACTCATCAGTGACGTTCAGATCAAAATAGTAACAAAGCCAAACAAGTACAAAGTTGAAGAGCATTGAGGACCCAAAATTCCAAAAAGTTGTGCCAAATACGGCTAAGGAAATCTATTCCTTGGATAAGAAAATCCTTAGTTTTTTCATTGGCAATCATAACACATCTCCTTATTTATATAATGATCTAAATCTTTCTTTATATAAACTTTTGATTTGGTACCATAGAACTATGTAGAGTAAATGTACATTGCAACATGTCAACTCTTTCAACTCCAAGCAAAATTATATTTCCAAGCATAAAGTAATTAATGAATGAAATAAAATGCTCCGCTGGGGCGCAGCTTGATACGACCGCAGAGGTCGAACCCTGAACAGTTGGGGCAAGTATGAACACAACATTCAAGCTTGATTCAGCACTGAATTTGGATTGTAATTAAATATTTGACACAGCATAGGTTTCTGACACAGAATGAAAGTGGTCTAAGATACTTAAAAAAATTTAATTTACCTATTCAAACCATATCATTATTATTTGCTTTTATATATAAATCAGAAATAACCAATTTAAAATGGAAAATTTTAAAGAAAAAAAAGGAAAAAGAATCCCCCCCCCAAATTTTTTGAACCCCCTTATGATTCATCACCCCAAAACTCAATCCCAGCCTTCCCTTTGTGGTATGGTACCTTGCAGTACAATTTCAGAGAGATCCATACACTTGAACACATGTTATTGTCTGGAAACTAGAAAAATGCTTGTTTTTTGGCCCCTTTTTGGTTCCAAATTCCTAAACGTTTAGGGCAATTACCCCCAAACTCAAACCCAGCTTTCCCTTTGTGATATGGAACCTTGTAGTACAATTTCATAAAGATCCATACACTTACACACAAGTTATTGCCATGAAACTAGAAAAATGCTTGTTTTTTGCCCCTTTTTGGCCCCTAATTCCTAAAATTTGGAGGCAATTACCCCCAAAATCAATCCCAGCATTCCCTTTGTGATATGGAACCATGTGATACAATGTCAGAGAGATCCATAGACTTACACACAAGTTATTGTCATGAAACTAGAAAAATGCATGTTTTTTGCCCCTAATTCCTAAAATTTGGAGGCAATTACCCCCAAAATCAATCCCAGCATTCCCTTTGTGGTATGGTACCTTGCAGGACAATTTCAGAGAGATCCATACACTTGAACACAAGTTATTGTCTGGAAACTAAAAAAATGCTTATTTTTGGCCCCTTATTCCTTAACTTTTTGGGCAATTACCCCCAAACTCTATTCCAGCTTTCCCTTTGTGATATGGAACCTTGTAGTACAATTTCATAAAGATCCATACACTTACACACAAGTTATTGCCATGAAACTAGAAAAATGCTTGTTTTTTGCCCCTTTTTGGCCCCTAATTCCTAAAATTTGGAGGCAATTACCCCCAAATTCAATCCCAGCATTCCCTTTGTGATATGGAACCATGTGATACAATGTCAGAGAGATCCATAGACTTGCACACAAGTTATTGTCATGAAACTAGAAAAATGTTTGTTTTTTGCCCCTTTTTGGCCCCTAATTCCTAAAATTTGGAGGCAATTACCCCCAAAAATCAATCCCAGCATTCCCTTTGTGATATGGAACCTTGTGAGATCCATACACTTACACACAAGTTATGTCTGGAAGTTACAAAAATGCTTATTTTTGGCCCCTAATTCCTTAACTGTTGGTACCATAACCCCCAAAATCAATCCCCACTTTCCTTTTGTGGTATTGAACCTTATTTTAAAATTTCATTGAGATCCATTCACTTAAACTAAAGTTAGAGTGCGAAAACGAATGTGTCTTCGGATGACGACGCCGACGCCAACGTCATACCAATATACGACCACAAAATTTTTTTGCGGTCGTATAAAAAGGAGTTCTTAATTAAGAAATAAACTGATTCGCTGAGCGCAGCTGGATACACCCGCAGAGGTACTACCCTGAACAGCTGGGGCAAAAATGGACACAATATTCAAGCTTGATACAGGTCTGAATTTGGATTGTAATTAAATATTTGACATATTATAGTTTCTGAATAAATGTAGTCAATGAACTTTAAATCGGTTATATGAATTGAATTTATATTCAATTAAAGATTTCTTGCTGTTGTGCAATACTTAATAAATCTGTTGCCAGACTATAAACAAATAAAGTTCAATTTCTTCTCAATGTCATATTTGAAATTTATGAAAATCAATAGGGAGATTACATCAATAGCTATAAATAATTCACCAAAGTTTCATGTGAACTGCTTAAAGCATTTTTGAGTTGTTGTCCAAAAACTGGAAAATCCCCCCTTTTTTAATGAATAAAACCCCATAACTCAGAAATGTAAAATCTAAAATTTATAAAATTCTAAAGGGAGCTTACGGATTGATAATTTAGTCTTAGATGCAAGATTTTTTTATCAGTTGTTAGTGGCTTTGAACTAGCTGTCAGTAACTGCGAGTACTCTCAGATTTGTACTTAGTGTCTTTTTGTTGTTTGGATGTACAACTACCCGACCACGTCCACTTGCATTTGTATTTATCCATCTGATGAGTTTAGCCTCTTTCAACTGATTTTTATAGTTCTTTCTTATATTGTACTGTTACACCACTGTCCCAGGTTAGGGGGAGGGTTGGGATCCTGCTAACATGTTTAAGCCCGCCACATTTTGTATGTACATGTATGTGCCTGTCCCAAGTCAGGAGCCTATAAAAGTGTAATTCAGTGGTTGTCGTTTGTTTATGTGTTGCATATTTGTTATATTTGTTCATTTTTTTACATAAAATAGGCCGTTAGTTTTCTTGTTTGAATTGTTTTACATTGTCATTTCTGGGCCTTTTATAGCTGACTGTGCGGTATGGGCTTTGCTCATTGTTGAAGGCCGTACTGTGACCTATAGCTGTTAATTTCTGTGTCATTTGGTCTCTTGTGCATGTGTGGAGAGTTGTCTCATTGGCAATCATACCACATCTTCTTTTTTATATTTACATCAACAGATATAAAAAATTCACCAAAGTCAAGGTGAGACAACAAAACTTAGTTGTAAGATCTCTGAAATTTTTTACAGGGTACGAGTTTTTCTCATTGTTGGAGATTGTACGGTGACAGTAACACCTGTAACTGCTTAAACCCATTTCTTATGCACTTTAGTTTGATAAACTCACTGAATATCATACCACATCTCCTTATTTTTATATGCATTACAATTTACATGTGCATGTAATTGTAAATATATATATATCAGAACAAAATTCATTGCGTCACTTTTATTTATGCATCCTTTGGCACAATACAAGTTCTAAAATTACACAACATACAACAACTAAATGTTATTTCAGATGAAAGTTTTGTTTCAGTTTCATTCATAGGATTTATTAGAATTTTGTATGTTTTGCCAAGTCCAATAATTCGCTCTATGTGACATAGAGACATAGTTGACTAAACCACCAAGTGTCGAACATTCAAGAATTTTCAGTGTTTCTGTTTTTATTTGATGAAAAGGTTGCCTGAGCTCTAGGAGCTTTAGGTTTTATCACGGGATATTCTGTGCTGTCAATAATATTCCAAGTCGTAGGAAACTTTAATTTGAAGTTGGATGGTGAAAAATACCTGACTAAACCACTAGATGGCTAAGTG